TCGATATAAAAATGAAGTAGTGTATTCTTTGCTCTTTCTTCAGACACATTGTGGTAGAGTTGTTTTAAAGGTTTTATAAATCCTTGGATCCAAGTTAGAGGGAAACTGCTGGTGTTGTCTCTGACGCTGAAGTTTCTTCCTAGAGATGCTTGCTTTCCTATTAATTCATCAGGATCTTATTTTGTAAGTAGTGTATTTAAATAACCAGAACTATTCCCATGGTTTGGGGTTTGGGTGGCTTCTTGCCTCCAGTAGAAGATAAGCATGATGAGGCAGTGGCATTGTCTGTAGCAGTAGGAGCTCTAGTGGGTAATATGTAACTGATCACCTTAGCCTGAAGCCTTGTTCTCTAGCCAGTTAACATTGGCCTGCCTCACAGGGTATTTTGCCAAGTATATTTAGGTATGATTAGAAAAACTACTCTATCTCTATCACACCATTTTATTACCTTCAGCTTCCAATCTCCAAACTAATGTAAAATCTTAGAAATTTAGATTTTTTAGTAGGATGATAATATGAATTAGTGGAAAACTAAGAAATATTTGTAATAGTAATTGTCCTGGGATTGAAGGAAGAGAAGAATCATTCAAAATCTTACAGAAATCATTTTGTCACTAATTTTTGTTATCAAATAAGATGTGGAAAAACATTCCAGTGCTGATATTTTACTTGATGCTTATTTACATTTCCTCCTTCACCAGAACTTAGGTAGAGAAGCTAGTCATTAGAATCCCGACCTCTGAGGAACATAGTAGAATGTTTCTGGCATCTGACCTTGGCACAGTTGGGGCATTTGTACCAGAAATGGACAGGTGAGCCATATTGATTGGCCTTTGTCTCTGCCCCACTTTCAGGTTACGGATTTTCTAAATGCAAAGCTGGTCAGCCTGTGTGAGTGGAAGGCTGCTAAGAGGAGGACTGTGAGGATGGTAGTGGCCCTGTTTTTGTATGTGTTGTCTTAGTAATGTAACTGGAAAAACCTGTCTGAGCATTCTGTAGATAATAAGCCTTAGGGAGTGTATTCTGCCACTAATAAACCTCTAAAATGAATCAAGCAAGATTGAACACCGAAACTAATCACCCATTTAATAAGGTAGGCTTTGCTTTAGAAGCCGAGGGTGGTTGGTATCAGTTTGTGTGGTAGCCACCATCCTCCGCTTAGAGTGCTTTGATGGCTACCTTTCTTTCTTTTTTTTTTTTTTTTTTTTTTTTTTGGTACCAGGGATCGAACTCAGGTCCTTGCGCTTGCATAGCAGGCATTGAAACCACTGAGCTAAATCCCCCCGGCTGATGGCTACCTTCCTGAAGAAAGGTGAGCAAGTGCTACAGAGCAAGCTTACATTTTCATGTTTGCTCTTCTGAGAGACAGAGTTTCTTTTGGGGAAAAATAATCCTTAACGGAATTTTTGAGGAAGGACCTACCAACTTATTAGCACAAACTATTTCATAAAATAATGATAGTAAGATGCTTTTGAATCCTTCTTAAATGTTAGTTTCTTAGATGTTTTACTTGAATTGTTAGCACAGATAGATTTAGTAGTGACTTATAAATAATTGGGCGGTGAAACTATGAAGGGTCATAGGAAAAGCATTGAATTAGAGTTGAGAAACCTAATTTCAGTTTTGGTTCTTTAGGTACTATAGCTATAGGACTTTGTGTTCAATTGTTCACTGACTCTTAGCCTGAACCTTTATATGTAAAATTAGGGCACTGATATACTAACTGCAAGTAGGCACAGCAACCCTAAACCCTGTGGCTCAGTAACTGAGCATGCTGTAATCTGGCCTGACATGCCCTTAGTTCTTCACGCTTGCACTGGGACCCGGGTGGGTGGGCAGTCTTCATGGTACTTCCCTTGACACTCTGTGGTTCTGACTCTCAGTGTGGGTGCTCCAGGCCCTTTACCACATTCCCTTAGAAAAGCTTATTATCTGTCTCCAGAGTTAACCAGTTGGAGCTTGTAATTACATAAAATTACACGCATATGTTGTTGGAGGTCAGAGGCATAGTAAGAGACAGCCATCAGAAAATCTATATGGAATATTTTGGAGTTCTATACAATGTTTTGTTCTTTTTCTTAGTAGGCTTGGAATTGTGAAACTAAAATATATTTTTAAAATATTGTTCCTGGATGCTTTTTTTAAGATTGCTCATTCATTGTGAGTTTTGGTGTGACTCACCTCGAATATAGAGCGAAGGGGGCTGTCCAGGTGGGAAGAACCAGGGAGGTATCCACATTGCTCCCGTGGCCTTAGGAACTCCCAAAGCTCGTGTGTTCATATTTTTATTCAATACCTCAAGTCATCTAAGTTCTCAGTAATGGAACCACCTTGCACTTACCACTCCTGAACATGCAGCATGTACACCAAGAGCATACTTCATACCTGTTTCATAAAGTGTTTTACTTTTT